ATAGATGAACGAACACAGCATACCTCGCGAATTCGCTTTCTTGTGGATCATGTCGGTAGTGCAGACTCGCACCATGAGTGTCGATGTTTTATTGTTCCGCGAAAGAAGCTCGTTTCGGGTGGGCGAGTAAGTGTAACCATGTCACGGTGATGGTAGGCCGACTTGTCGCCAACAGACGTTTTGTGTCCGTCATGAACACTGCTGGCAAGGATCGGGAAAGAGACTGAACCCAAGGACTGAATAAATATTTAGAAATCCGTTGTCATTTACGCTCAAGATGCTCATGACGGAATATTCTGATGACAGATGTCTGGACCACCAAGTGTACCCCATGACAGATAAAGGGTGCTTGATGAAATAAAGATGAAATGGAAAAAAGTGACTCATAACGATGTTCGTAAACGACAAGACAAGTGTTCGAAGCAGACTTGATGACACTCATGATATCATTCTCATCTTTCGATAGTCATTACTTCGAACAGTTAAGGAGGTTGAACGAGGGTACCTGACTCAACGACGACCCAAATCTAAAACCCTCAAGGGGCTTCAGTAGCCTCGGATGCCATCCGACGGATGGAATCAAGGGCAATATGGGTTGCATTGAGTGCATCTAGTTCCCCGATGTCGGGTAGATTGAACTTATTTGGTACACCAATTCTCCTAGATGCAACAATAGCTTTGGTGATGTCCTCACCCATTAGACCAAGTGTAGCGAGTAAGGCGGCGACACCGGCAACTGTGGGGGTCGCCATCGATGTGCCACTCTTATAACCATACGTAGCAACAGGAATCGTTGAGTAGATGTTTACACCAGGAGCGGCAACCTTTGTAACCGGGCCAGCGTTCGAGAAGTCAGCTAGAGTGATGCTCTCGGATGGGTTGGAAGTACTGGCAGCAACACAGATCATGGATGGGATGTTCTCCGCGAGGCAGCAAGGATAGGTTGGGAAGGTTTGAAGACTCACCCCCTCATTTCCGGCGGCAGCAACGGAAAATTACCTTGATCCAGGGTTACACCCTTACTCCAAGCTCTTGCCTGTAGTCCAAGCTCGTCCCCTTGTTCCAAGCTACTCTTGACGCTTGAGCCAAAGTACCCCTTAATCCAGTAACACAAGCGAGCGTAGCGAGCTTGTGAGAAAACCTTTCTACCAAGCTGGGTATTTCTTCAGATAATACGTTGTGCAAATGATGTTTTTCCTTGTCAGGGTGTTTAGGTGTTGCGTCGGTGGTGTTTACGGTTTCTGTTAACGGTTCCAACACTTTCTGGGGGCATAGGGGATTTCTTCTCAGCGTCGTATCATGGATTGAGACTTGCGGGGGTGTTGATGGTAATCTGCGGACTGCACTGTGATGCTGGACAGTACAGGTAAAGTGACAGTAAAAAGAGCTTTCATTCGTCGAAATTGGTCTTGTGTTCGAACTTGCGTTTCCGAATCCATGGATTTCATGCACGAAAAATGAACTTTCATTTGAATCTGAACTTTCATTCCGTGGAAATCTCCTTCAACTAGTCGAAAAACAAATTTCATTCGTCTAATTTGCTTTTTCACTTGCTGAATAACTCAGCCTGAATTCGAGATTGGAAAGGCGTAGACGCTAGACTTGGGATCGCCGATTTATGTTATATCATAATATGCAGCTCATCTGGTAGGGGTTCTGTTGTACTATGACGCAACGTGAAGGAATAGGGAGAAAGTTGAGAGTAGCAATGATCAATGTAATCTATTTGATAATAGCTATTACACTTAAATGGCGAGCGAGATCGTCTGGGCGGGCGCTAGTTTCTGCGCATCATTACATTCCCCCTCCTTCGAGTTAACATAACAACTCTATAGAAGTTTCAGATCGATCGAGTGGACGGTTGTTACTGAGCCGTCGTCTCGTTTGACCAAAATTCTGTTGGTACCCTCACGTCGCACAACTGTTGCGGGCATCCAACGACGCTGCAGTTTGGGCACGATACCCGACACTCGAACTAATACCAGGAGACCTGGTTTTAATAGGTCTTGCGGTGGATCGCGTAGAACCTGCCGCAGATACTCATAACTCTCATGGCACTGTATCGGAACCTCGGGGCGAAGACTAGGGCGAAAGGTGAACACCTGCTCATGTGGGCTGCGGTTGGAGCCCTTCCTCGGTGTCGCATTATACATACGGGCAGCTTTTATAGCTTGGCGACAGAATTCACTATATGACAAATCGGGCGCTACATGTGCGCGAAAGTACTCATTAGCAAATCGATGCCAGCGTTCAATTTTCCCATTACTATGCGATGAGTGGACTGCTGTTAGAATATGAACAGTATTCCATTTTTCAAATAGCCGCTCTAAACTTTTAGCGGTATATTGACTTCCCCTATCACTCTGGACCAATAACGGCCGTCTCTGGAACGTATCCACCAAAGACTGCAGAAGATTCTGCACATCTTCCGAGGTTGGCTGATGCAAACTAGGGCGGATCGCCACATAGTTCGTACAGCTATCGATCGTCGTTATCAGATAGAAACGACTAGTTCCAGAATCCATTTGCCGGTATGGGCCACAAATATCAGTGTGAATGCGATCAAACGGTCTGGGAGCCGGTTTGATACTGGATAGGGCGACAAGAGGCTGATTGTCTCCTGGGAACGCTTTAGCTGCCGCACAATCAGTACACGCGAAGTGGTTACACTCGGCGGCTAGTCCCGGCATGTCTATGAATTCACGGAGAGTGTGGAACATAGCCGCCCGACCTTCATGGTCATGCACCAAGGAAAGCAATTTTGTCGCTTTCTCTCTAGGTACTTGCACCTTACGGTTTCGTATATCAAACTCAAACAAAAACTGTGCTAGTTCCTCGTTTCTGTCCTCCTCCGCTTTTTCCGCTACAGTGAGGCAGGTAAAGCCGGTGAGCGGTACCTTAACATGATCGCCACTGGCTACAGCATTACTTGTATCAGCGAGAACCTTGCGAAACAGATCGCGTAGTTCGTCGGGTAGACGAGAAGGTTCATCTGCCTCGTTCTGAGACGATGGGCAGTGGTGGACACGGAGGTTGATACCGAATGAGTGTATGACATCATCGATTAGTTGTAAACGGCCCTCAACGGCGCCCTTACTCATTCCGCTAACCTTGTACCAGTGCCGGCCTTCCTTGCGAGATAGCCAACTCTGTACCGAGACATTGTCAATATACAAATGAACAACTTGTTCTCGGATGTTATACACCTTCATATAATCCGTTACTATATCAAGGCCGCGAAGCACTGCTTCTGTTTCACAGACGTTGATATGACGCTTGCATCCCTTCTTGCGCAACCATGCACGGTCTTCCACCTTGACCTCACCAAAGAAGAGTGTGGCAGCGAGACCTATACTCGACGCATCTGTGTATAATCGCCACTCCTTCGAAGGATCAATCAACCAGGTTCCGTGGCATGGATCACCTGTATTCTTTATGTGTTGACAGACAGCTTTCCAGAGGTTTTTCATGCCTTCTGGCAAGGGGTAGTCGTATGAAGGCTTTCCATTACGCGATGGTTGTAGGGCAGACGCCACTCTGGTCAACATGGCAGTACACAGCCGCAGCCATGTTGCCACTGGGTAGAATGTTGAAAGCTTGCCTGCTAGCGACGCAAGTTCACTCCGTGTCTGTGGCTCACTATCAAGATCTAATCGGGTTTGCGAACCCAATTTCCATCTGTAGTTATGTTGATGCCGATTACCGTTGAGCCAAGAAGTGGTCTGGGGGGCTTGACCACGAAACCGTCTGTTGCAAGCGTGTCGCATACAAGGTCAACATCATCTTTGTGAACTACTATATCGTCCACGTACTTTCGCAGTGGATGCTTTAGCGAGTCTTTAATACGATTTAGACAGTTATCTGTAGACAACGCGAGGGCTTTACCCGATATGGCTAGACCAAAGCCTGCTCTCGTCATAGCAAAGATATTGGAACCCTCTGGCATGTGTGGAAAGACGGCGCACTGCCAGTATTTTTGTTCTGGACTGATATGAAGTTGCATGTACGCATGCTTTATGTCTATCGTCACATATTGAGAAGGATCTAATGATCTCCACCGACGTACCTCCGCTGGACAAGAGACAGGTCCGTAGCGGTCGTTTGGAGTTGACTCAATGAGGGTATTGAGAAACTTGTAATCAATAACTACTCTTACGGGAGTACTTTTGCCCAACGACACTATAGGCATGGTTGTCACAGTAGCTTTCACGTCGCAGGGATCGACAGGCTCGAAATATTTATTGTCAATCATGGTCTGAATTGACCCATGAAAGAGCTGCAGTTCATGTGCACTCAGTTTCTCGACCGTTTGAGGATAATGCGGTACATGATACATGGGTCTACATGGCTCCTGGCCGCCACGCCATAGCCAAGAGACTTGCCATTGGTACTTGTGACGGGGATTATTCTTTTTTGCTGGATCTGTTATA